GCGTTCTATTGGTATTGTGCATACACTTCAGTGGAGCTGAGCCATTGGTAAAGCCAGAAAAGGCAATTTATTTCAGAAACTTGTTTTGTAATATTAATAAATCAAATCCTCTGACACAAAAATGAAAAAAAAATCTGGTATCTGTGGCTATCACTGGTTTGCACTTTGGACCGAATTAAATGACTGGCTGGCCTACCTTCCTGTTTACCTGTGCTCATTCTGCCTGTGCACTCACTGCATATGAAAATGTGTTTTGAGGGAGTGATTTTGGTAGGTTGGCTGGAGGGATATGGTGCAACTTTTTCATTTGGATACATTCAAAATCTATCTGTTTCTTGCCAATTTCTCCAACGTTGCCTACCACTGCTTTAATGATATTAGTTCCACCTGTGCTTTTCCTGCAGTGAGAAGTCAAACTATTTTCTGAGGAAGGTTTGTTGTTTTCAATTATGTGTTGATGTGTATTCAATTATTTGACTTCTTTCTCATGCTGGTGGCAGTGTTATCCTGTTGATCCATCAGTTGCCCTCAGGATGAGCTGTAATAAATTTGGTGATCCCTTAACTTTTTATGTTGCACAACTGTCTGGTAAAAAGAAAAATGTTTACCAATACTTTAGTTTATGACCAAAACATACTTACAACTTATAGCTGTACTTTGTGTTTAGTGCTTATTAGCATATATTAGCATGCTAACAACCTACACTGGTGAACATGGTAAACCATATACATACCTGCTAAACATCATCGTGTTAACATACTCATATTGTCATTGTGAGTATGTTAACATGCTAAAATTAGCATGTGCCGGTCTGCTTCTTATCTTATGTTATATTGTTTTTACATGTGGTCTTATTATGTCATTTCTTCTCACTCGACGAGTGAGCTGTTGTGACTCAAAGTGACTCACCTTCCTGTGTATGTGGGCACACACACACACACAAAGAATCTTAAGGTGTCCCCAAACAAAGGTAGCAGCTGGTCCCCGCATCATGTTGCATGTTGGAGAAGAGAAATATCAAATATCTGAAAAGTTCCCCTAAACATTTGAAGATGGGATATACACACACACACACACACACACACACACACACACACACACACACACACACACCATGAATAGTCTGGTGTGTCTTAAGACTTAATGCAACTCGTATTTGCCAGAGATGGAGAGAGTACACCTAATGAATGGCTGACCAAGCTCTGGCCACCCTCTCTCACACACAAATATGCACTCCCCTGCACATGCACATTTGACAGGATCAAATGTCCTGAGCTGCTCTTTGTTGAGTTTTGTTAAAAATGTCATGATATTTAAGCTAAATGCTAAAAATGCCCAGAGCAAAGAAAAACAACAGCTTGTTAATTATCTTTGTCCTTTCTGATTTTATATCTATGGATCTCAGCCTTCTAAATCTTGCTCTGACAGCCTCTTGCTAAACTTCTGCATCTCTTTCTCTCTGTCTGGCCTTTCTCCACAGCCCTCGCTTTCTCTCTCTGTTCTTATGCAACCAGCTCATAAATAGAAAATGGATGTGTCACGCAATTACTGTATTTATACTGGAAATGGACTAAAGGCAGGGGCCAAGGTTTATACTGGAGCCCACACAGGGTTTTAAGCCTTCTTCCATTTACTTTATTTTTGCTCCAGTATCAAAACAGGGTGACTCATTCATCTCGGCTGCACAGGTGTTGGGCTTTTTGTTCTTTTTTAAACGATATTATTTAGCAACTCAAAATCAATAGATCTGTATCAATAACAATTGAAACTGACACGTTTGAAAGCCTGAACAAATGTGCCAAAACATGTAGGATACAAAGGTGAGAAAGGAATGATGGGAAAAGAATGTCAGCCATTATTTGTCCAAGAGGGAAGCAGGTTTGGCTTACTTTTTTTTTCTTTACATGTTCAGTTGAACACACAGCAAAGCGTTTGTGACAGAGTAAGACGCAGGGACCTTTTAGGTTTGTCCATCCCGCTGTGTGTTGTGTTTTTGTTGTTTTAGCTGCTGCTGGAGTTAAATCGGTCCCAATCCTCCATCTCTTCCTGGTCTACGCTGTTTGCCTTTTTCTCAGCCAGGTGGTTCCTGTTCTCTATCTTGTGTTGAACCACTTTCATAGCTCTGAAAGTCTCTCAAGCAATTCAAAGGGCAGCAAACATCTCAAACAGTATGTAGACGAGCAGGTTTCATCTGCCACATTTTTAAAAGTGCATTTGTGTACAGAAAAACATCTGCACACACAGCTATTAATCCTATTGGTGCAAGTCTTTTGATCTGATCAATCTGACTGATTGATTGATGATCCATGATTCATCGTTTCATTTCAGTGTTTTTGTAGTTACGGCCATCATCGGTTCCTGTAACATTTCACCTATCTACCATGCAGAATTGTGGGGTTGCCACAGCTTTACAACAGTGTCCACGAGGACAAGAGGGAAGTGGTTCTGCAATATCCAAAATCATTTGGGGAGTAACTTAATTCTTTACCATTTTCAAGCAGGTGTGATTAAACAGGTTTAACTGAACCTCTCAGATCTCGTGTATGGTTGCATTATAACTAATTGTAAGTGATTAATTATACATTCTACTGGCTAGCTGAGTAAAATGTTATCATAGCCAATAGAAATGATTTTCAAAACTTTCAATTAGAATAATAATAAACAAGTCCCTATAAAGATTATGTGTTGGAGCAAGGGACTGTGTCCTGCATTATTTAGAGCAGTTCCGAAGTATGAAATGCTCTGAACACCTTTTTTATATTAGTAGAGAAGAAAAATAATTCAACAACAGAAATTCTCCTGCAAATGGGTCCTGATGCATAGAAAAGATTAATTCCTGTGAAATGTAGAAACTGGAACTTGATATAAACATTCACTTGTCTGCATGTCTAACTTGATTGTTTAAAAAAAAACAGTTAAAAGACTTTTCTATTCCAAAAGACAAGACGGTAATCCTCTCAGCGTGGGATCCAGGCTCATTAAAACACACCACTGCTCTTGCCATAAGAGGAGTTGTCACCAGCTGAACTGTGACCCATTTTGGGTGTGACCTTTTCATTTAAGAAACCAGGTTACGGAGTCTATTATTCAACATCCTGGGAACTAAAGCTAAACCCAGCACTCCTCTCATGTGCAAGCCAAGCCAGAGTTTGTATCAGCAGCTGAATAAAAGACCTTATATGTTCTTTCAACAGACCAAACTCTCTCTCAAGCACATTTCAGTGTGTATGTGAGTGTGGTTCATCTTTTTATATCCTGGTGGGAACACACACTAACTGATAGGGACTCGTGTCACAGTGGGGACCCCACGGGTAGAGAAAGCTAGAGCTTTTTGAGGGTTTTGGGGATCAGGTTACAATTAGGTTTGGTTTGGGTAAAGGGTTAAGGTAAGGGTTAAGATTAGGCATGGACAGTAGACGTGATGATTAAGGGTAAGGGAACGCATTATGCCAATGAGATGTCCCCACAGGGATAGAGGAACAAACATGTGTGGGTGGGTGTGGGTGTGTGTGTGTATGTAGAGGTGGTAGGTTAGAGGGTGGGAGTGGTTCAGGATACAGACTAGGGAGTTGCAGTTTGAACAATTACACCCAAACTTCCACTTTACCTCAATCAGCCACTGGACATTTCCCTCCTTTAACCTTTCGTTCCCTTTTACTCCCCCCCCCCCTCTCTCTTTCTCTTTTGTTTCAGCAATTTTGCACACTTTGTTCCTTCCCATTCTTCATAACAATGTTTTCTTTCTGTCTTCTCTTTTCAGCTGTCTCTTATTTTCTCTCTCTTCTATCCCTCACTGCAGGTTAATTCATTTGAAATGCAGTGGTTGCTTTACTGGCATCAGGGGTGCAAAGCAACTTAATTACTTTGACACTGTTGTTACTGTAACTGAGTAGCTTTTTCGTGGGGTACTTTATTACTTTATTGAGGAACTGTTTTAAATCCTTAATTGTACTTAAACTTCAGTAGCTTAATTTATGATTAAAGTCAGTGTTTACAGAGGATAGACTTGCTGGTAGACTTGCTGGTAGACTTGCTGCGAACACTGTAAAATACTATTACTACTACTACTACTCTCTGTGGCATGCTTTAGATCTCAATGCAAATTTCATATAACTCCAAAGTCTACACACTGGAAAGAGTAGATTTTCTTTATTCAGAGTGTGTGATGCTGCCTTGTGCATTGGTTGTGTGGAATACAAAGCAACAGATTTCCATCCATTATCTAGACCTACATATCCCTTTCAGGGTCGTGGAGGGCTAGAACCTATCCCAGTTTACATTGGATGAGAAGTGGGGTTCATCCTGGACAGGTCACCATTATAACACAAGGCTATGTCAGACTAATTTATTAATATTTATTAATTTATTGGTCCAGAGGAATTATTTTCTCAAATTTGGAAAAGACTAAGAACTGCTGTGGTAATACAGTGATGAACTTGACTTAAAGTTACATTTATTAACTAAAAAACTGGATTTAGCATAAGTTACACTTATAAGAAAACAGAAATAAGAAAACAGAAATATACTCAATTCATTTTAGGAAGACAATGATTACAAAGTGGCCCAATCAGGAGGATAATCTGTATATTTGTTTTGAACATCTTTCCCCTAATAAAGGATGATCTGTGATAAACCTTTCTAATTTTGGAGCATCAATAGACTGCAGAGCAGTTGGTTTTTCTACCAGGCTACCATGGATTTATGGATCGGTTCAATTCAGAATACACTACCATACTTCATTACTACAATAGTCTAACAAGACCGGAGATGTAGTCTCAGTGTACACATCAACAGAAACACACAGACAATCTGCTGTTCTTTCTATACAGTGCCTTGCACATTTCTTTGAATGTGTTATGACACCTCCCCCTTGTGTTCACGTTCAGTACTAAGCACTACAACAGCCAAGGGGAGGATCCGAGGGTGGAGTTTCACCTTGCTGTGCTCTGCTCATAAGCACAGGTACATTTTTTTAAAGACGGCAAGCTAAAGCCAGCAAAGCAAGTACAAGCTATTGGTGTCAGGGAAGTTGTCCGTTGTGAAAATGGCATGCAGAGCAAGTGATATATAGTAAAGACAATGGACAGCACTATCAAGCAGCCAGATGTTGCTCTTAACTAAATGCAAGTTAGATTTGAAGGGCCTAACTAACAATGGGGAGTTTTGTGGCTGATCTGTTTCTGCTCCTGCTGATTTCTACAGGACAAGTTTATGGAGGTAAGTCACTGCAGGGGCAAGGAAACCACCTTTCCTCCTAACTGTGTGATGCATATATTAAAACTGGGAACAATTATGCTACAACTTTACAGTTGAATGATTTGTTGCGTCGCTATAATACAACTGGCAATGCAGCAAAAAGGTTTTCACTACAGAAACATGTAGAAATACAGTTTTTAGAGGTTGCTAGTGCAAATTTATTGAAGGTAACATTTAACATTCATACATAAACTCTGGTCGTTTTAGTTAATCCTATCCCCTTTTATTCCCCTTTTAATGAATTGATGCAGGAGATAATTGTTATGTTGTAAATGAAGTATTGTTTTTCGTACAACCTTTGATTAAGTTAAAATGTGGCTGTGACAGTTGGCAGCTTAATGTTTAATCCAGCCTAATATTGTCTGTAGACATATGGCAATATGCTGCTGTATACTGGACATATATTTTGGCTGGATGCTTGCAGTCTCTTGATCTGGTGCCACACTGCTCACCAAATGTCCTCCTAAAGTTTGGTTTTAAAGATTAGAGTGATGTAACTTGCTTAAAACAATTACAACTGAACAGTGTCATCATTAACAAGTTGTTGCTCTTCCCTAAAAAACAATTAATTGTGCACAGAAAAATCTGTATTAATTTTATGTAAATGTTTGTTTTATCAGTGTTTCTGAATCCACACACATCAGGGTTTATTTAACACTTCACTTAGTTTTGAAAGGCCACCTCAGAGCTGGATCAGCTTTGTTAGTTGACAACTTCTCAATCAACACCTCTGATCAAATCTAAATAACTGCCACTGGAACATTAATATTTACAACCAAAGGTTGGTAAATGTGCAGGAATTACAGCATACAAGCACTGCCTCAGATAACTGTACATGTCTTTATACCTGCTTATGACAGCACATTAAAGACATGCATTCACATTCGAAGTGTGTCTGTAGCCAGATTACTAATAATCCAATGTTCACTGGTATCATAGAGGCAGATTAGAGATAGATGGACAGACATGGGTTATACTGACAGCGGGCTTATAGGCTTTATGCAGAGCAGCATGCTGGGCCGCCCTGCTGACTGAGTATTTAGCACTGGGACCAGTCTTATGGCACATAATAATAGCCTTGATAATTTTTTTTGTCTTTATTTTTTGCAGGCAGTGCATTTCCTAATCAGAGTTGCATAGGGATTTAAAGGCAATAAAAGCCTTTAAGACAATTGACACCAATGTAGGCATGAAATTAAAACAACAGAAGAGATATATAAGAATATGGAATGCAGGACAACGCACATAAAAGATATTTTCCCATTGTTTTTCCAAATTTTTGAAGTTTTCCTACATGTAAATTTTAACAAGTTGCTGAATGACTTTTTGTTCTGTGTGATGTGGGAACATAAATTATTGTCTTTCATGTAGAGCTGGACAATATGGCCAAAAATTATATCACAATAAAAAGTTTCAGATTTGTCGATATCGACAATTACCACGATATGTATCAAATTGTTATTTCTTTCGAGTTTAAAGGCTGATTTATGCTGCTGAGTTAAAGTTGAAGAAACCTGAGGGTTAATTGTGGTTTAAACTCTTCTTTATGGTCAACACCAGATGCCAAATAGTAGATAACTTCACAAATCTGAGGGAGAACATTCAAAAAAATTATGATAAAATCTTTGTCAACAAATATGCATAAGTAAAATTAAGTAGAAGCTTATTTCAGTCCTTTTTCCTCTACAAAGTAAACATCTAAACATTTATTGAATATTTACTGAACATGTGTTATATTGTTATTGAAAAAAAATATTGCGATAATTATTGTTATTGTTTTATTGTCCAGCCCTACTTTCATGTACTTACACTGTAGAGTTGTGCACACCAGATTTTGTGAGTCATTCATTCATTTAATTTCCCTGCTTTGTTTTTTATCCCCTTCATGCCAATTAGTTATTTTTATTGAGATAAGTGAAGATAGAGTTAGACTGTTGAATACTAAATACTTTCTTGTGTTCAGTCTCACTGCCACTCCATACTGCTGAACTGTTTAGACAGCTTTAGAGTTTCTAGAGTGTCCAACACACACACACACACACATACACACACACATACGCACACATCTCTCTAACCTCTATTTGCTGTGTGTTACACTTTCCACAAATTGACAGAGTGCTCCAATGCCATTGCTTTGTAGGTCAAATCGATTAAAATCAAGACTGCTTACGTTTTTCTATTCACTGATGTGAGTGGTGTGTACACTAGCCTCACTACTAAATGCAAGTACATTGTAATTGCATAGGCTAGCTAATTGCATCAGTTGAACCCCTTTTTTACGATGTTTTAGACAAAAGCATACCAAATGAAAAATTGTAAATGTAATCATTTTTAGCCACGATAACCGCATGAATCTAGGACTGACAATGGACAGGCGGTTGGTTGGTTGGTCCTCCACTTTGGTCCAGACTAAAATATCTCCACCACTATCACATGGATCAACATAAAAATTTGTACAGACATTCGTCTTTCCCGAATAATCTATCCTAATGATTTTAGAGACACCCATATTATTCCTCCAGCACCACCATGAGGTTGACATTTGGGGGTTTGTGCCATGACAATTGGTACAGACCTTCGTGTTTCCATCAGGAATAGGTTAATTGGAATAACTTGGTAATCCGTTTACATTTCATCAGGCACCATCATCATGTCAAAATGATTGGTTTATGCAAAACTAATGACATTCCTGTCAGGCTCAGCTGTACATATTTGCTAATTAGAAAATCTTAGCATGCTAACACGCTAAATCAAGATGGTGACCATGATAAACATTATACCTGATAAACTTCAGCATGTCAGCATTGCCCTTGTGAGCATGTTAGCGTGCTGATTTCTGCATTGCACTCCAAACAGCTCTGTGCTCAAGTACAGTCCAAGTGGGAAACTCTGGTTCTGAATAGTGAAGCCAATGCTGAAGTGCCTTAACCTTCATTATTTTCCTAATGGCCAGCAGGGGGCGATGCCACTGGTTGCTCCACTTCTTTAATGAGTTTATGATCTCAATCGTTACTTTCAAATCGTTTCAATACAGCATGATGTTCATTTAGTAAATTATGGTCCCATTTAGATTAAAATAGACGATAAAGCAGGGTATGCTTCGTAGACTGTATGTATGCTTCAGGGAATGGCTAAATTGTGACTGACAAGTAGCTACCACAGCGACCTGTCAGGTGTTGTAATACAACCCCTCCTCAGCATCACCCTCTTGTCCAAATATGGTCACTTCTGGTTCCAGTTAAACAAAATGCCAAACTCGAGGCTTAAAAATGGCAGTCCACAAACCAAAAGGTGATGTCACAGTAGCTACGTCCACTTTCTTTTACACAGTTTATATGGTACAGCATAGAACCACTAGCGAAGTGAGGGTGTAGCGTCTAAACCATGTTTTAATGTTCCAAGTTCAAACTAGCCATATAGGTATGTAGTTCTTATCTGAGAGGAGTTATGAGGGTACAACCATGGTCATGAATTAATTTAAATAGTTATTTACTTTTTAATTTATTTTAATTTATTTATTTATTTATTTATTTATTTGGTGGTTTCCCAATTCCAGTTAGAGATTTAAGCCCTCTAAGCTTTACACCAACAAATGATGATATTTGTGCTCTTAGAATAGCTCTGCCATTGCGAAATGTTTGCACAACTAAATGTCCAGTCTGCGTCATTTGGGTCACTAGTGAAGTCTAATTAGCATCAGAACATTTCAGGATGACCCACTCCAGAATGCATTAGTTGTCATTAATTGAATTCAGATAGCAGGTAAGTGCAGAGTAGACACCATATTGACAAGCTAGCCAATACAGATTAATGGAATAACCTTTACTGGGAGAAGGCCTTTGGTCACCAAATGTTCATTTCATTTTGTGGGTGGTAGTAGAGATTTTGTATACAGATATAACCGAGAAATGTAATTAAAAACAAAATTTAATTAGTATGGCAGTATGACGTAAATTTTGCCCTTTAATTACTTCATTAATTTGTACCTAGGAATAAAACCTTGTTTCAAATCAAGCTGAACATGATTCTGACTGGGCTGCACATCAAAACAGGACAAAATGAACACCTTACAATATAATGTAATCAGCAACAAGACAAATTACAGCCTAATATATTACTATGGAGCTAAAGTACCATCTTTCTATCAAAGTCTTAACATTATAAGCGTCACAACGTTATCTTTTTTGAAAGGACATTGGATTGCATTCAACTTCACAGATTCTCATGATATAGTGGCCACCCAATACATGTCAGGATGGACGTCTCATCTGTCTCCTTTTTCATTGTTGCAGTGTCATTCTACGGTGATGGCTATATTCACTTGCGGACAGTGGAGACATCGATTCAGACGATTCTCCATGTACGATTTCGAACCTCCAGTCAGGTGGGGCTGCTGTTTTTGGCAGCTGGACGCAGAGACTTCTTGCTGCTGGAGCTGATATCTGGTCGACTGCAGGTAGGCTAAAGCACATATTAGGATAATATCACACTTGGAAAATGGATGGCTATCATCAAGCAAAAAAAAAATAATTTTATGACACAACATTTATCAGTTTGCTTTTTGGTCAAGGAAAAAACATTTGGATTTTGGCAATATGAATACAAATCAGTCACAGTAAAACCTGTCCAGGGAAAATATTTACCATCTTGAGAAGAGCCAGCGAGAAGTCTGAACACACACAGCTTGGTGTCAAATTGCTCACAGAGAGAGAAAAATAACCCCCCTGGCACTGGCTTCTTTTCAGAACAAGTTCCTTCATGACGCAGGTTAGAAGAGAAGACCACAATAGTTTAATGAAAACTCCAAGTACATGACAAGTAACTGCTCATGAAATAGTTTGTGAATAAATCCTTTAATCTACAGTTGATAACTGCCTTGATTTTGTTTTTAATTGTGCAAACTCACCATCTCATCATCATCATGCTATGCTTGCTTTTATGTGTTTTTACTTTTTATCCTGCAACTCTTGTTGTGGCATACAAACAGACATTAGAAAGAATTGTGCGTCTTGGTTATCACCTTTCATCACTCCTTTCCTCACTTTTTCCCTCCTCTCCTACGCCTTCATCCCTCAGGTACGTCTGGACCTGGGTTCAGGTGAGCGTTCACTACGCTCAGAAAAAAGCATTCATCTTAGCGACCTGGCGTGGCACTCCATGGAGCTGACCCATGACCACCATAATGTCAACATGACCGTGGACCGAAACTCTCATACCAGCCTCCGTATGCCAGGACCAGATCTGGAGCTCAGTGTCGAGTATGGGCTTTATGTTGGTGGGGCAGCTGGACTAAACCACCCAAAGCTTCTCAACATCTCTGGCGGTTTTAGAGGTTGCTTAGATGAAGTTGTGTTCAATGAACATAACCTGCTGTCCAGTCTAAGGCCTTATTCTGGGTACAAGAGCGTCCACGAGGTATCTCTGGGCTGTAGTCCACAGTTTTCTGCAACAGTAGAAGATTCTGTAAGTTTTTTCAGCTCTAAAGCCTTTATCTCTCTCCCACCGTGGGATGTGCCACAGGAAGGAGTGTTTGAATGTGAATTACACCCCTCTGCAAGAGAAGAAGATGGCATGATCCTGTATAGCTCTGGAAACCAGGGAGGGTTTGTTGCCATAGAGATCAGAGATGGTCATCTGGTGGCAACGGTGGGAAATGAAGAGGGGAGTAAGACTGAGTTGCGTTCTCTAACACATGTACGCAGCAACCACACCTGGTACCCCATCCAGCTGCACCTGCAGCCCCACATTGTCCAGCTGAAGGTGGGTGAAGAATTCGTCAAGGCCAACCTGAGTCTGGCGCTCCAGGTTATCCAGCTCAAGGGGCCTCTCTTCCTGGGAGGGCTGAATGAAGAAGCTCGGGGAGAGGCAAGACGAGCTGGGCTACTGTCCGCTGTGCTTGGGGTGCAACTAGCTGGCCGAGGAGGCTCTTTCAAAGGCTGCCTCCGAAAAATTAGGGTGAACACTCAAAGCACGGGCCTACCTCAAGCTGCCATCACTAAGGACATCACTGTGGGCTGTAAGACAGGGCAAGCTCCAGATGCAGTGACATTGACCAGCCCAACAGATCATCCCGAGTTTGATGTTACAACCACACATCCAATCACCAACAATAAAAAGAACCCTAACTTTTTGTTGTTGAGAAAACTAGAGGTAGCGGAGGGAAGCCGAGCACCACTGGAACCCAAACACATGAGGGTAGGACTGGTTTTCTCCTGCTGCTCTGCTTCTAGTTTTCACTTTTAGTTATTTGACATGTTTCTTATACATACATGTCAGTGAAAATAAACTGGAGTTATGTAGTTTCCACATGTGTATAAGTCAGTTCCTATTTGCACTCTCTTTCAGGTGAATCTGGATTTTCGGAAACTGGGCATTCATCCATCCCAGTTGATGTTCCGCATTGAGGGTCAGCCTGTCCATGGCCAGCTCCGGCTGGACCTCAGTCCAGACCCTGATGGGATGCTGGACAAGGGGCAGGAGAGGACTATCACAATAGGAGCAGAAGAAGTTGACCGGACTTTCAGTATGCTGGACCTGTGGCAGGGCAGGGTAATGTATGTTCACAGTGGGTCAGAGGACCTGCAAGACTTCTTCATGTTTTCAGTCTTCTCCAGTAGTAAGAGGGAACTTCCTGCATTTCTGAAGGGCAACCGCCTGCACCGGTTTGATATCAGTATCAGTCCTGTTAATGATGCACCTGTGCTTAGCCTGCCGGAGGGAAATCTTTTCACTCTAGTGGAGAAGTCCAAACGAGTGGTAGGTACAACAGAATGCCTGGATGGTATGTATGTGTGTATAGTAGAAAATAAAAATGAATACAACCACAATGTCCCCAGCTGACAACAGATGTGCTGAGAGTGTTGGACCCTGACAGCAGTCCTGCAGAGCTGGTGTTCAGCTCCCTGGGAAACCTCAACACTGAGGCCGGACATCTTGAGCACCAGGATTACCCCGGCAGGTTTGTGCTACGGCTTCCGAGGCTTTACAGTGCCTCCAAATCTTCTTCCAATCATAGAGCTTCATAGAGTAAAGCAAGTTGCTTTATATATATATACATATACTGTATAGGAGCAGCAAAGAAAGATGGTTTTGAAAAAAAAGGTTTAGACAAAACATATTTCAAAGACTTTTTCTTATTTATTTGTGCTAGCAAAGTTTTGTAAAGTTATTATTTTATATATCTGTGGTTGCCAGATTTTGATACGGTATTTGGGTGTCACATTCCACATTCACTCTAAGCCACTTTTGTCACCTTGTTGCACCTGGCTACATAACCAAAATTAATGCTAGCTGCTACTAGATGTGTCAAACCTGCAGTGCAGTACTTTCGTCTCCCTCTTCAACACGTGCTTATGACATTCAGAAATAGTTAGAAAAATACAGAGACACTATTCCAAGACAATAATCCATTATTTTTGTAAATGTTGAGTAAATGTTATAGCTACATAGCCTATTATTGATCATTTTATTCTGATAACTAAACAAACTGATAAGTGTGACCTCAATACTATTCTGTAGCCGATCCTGACCGCCAATCTCCTTTTGTAGCATCAGACAAACGAGCAGAGTCGAAAACCGAACAAAACAGAACATGAAAGTTAACATCAATGCATCTATCTTCCAGGGCTATTAACTTGTTCTCCCTGAATGATCTGGAGGAGGCTAAGATCAGCTTTGTTCACACTGGGGTGCCCACCTCCAGGCTGGCTCTCAGGGTTAGCGACGGGATGAAGGTAAGTAATGTAATCTAAGTGTTAATTAGCAAATGTTAACAAGGTAAACTTCAGTATGTTAGCACTTTGTCATTGTGAGCATGTTAGCTTGTGTTAGCATTTAGCTCAAAGCACAGTACAGCTTCTCAGAGCCATTAGCATGATTGTTTTATTGCACACACACATTTTACATGTTGCCATTATGTTATATTGGCCTAATTAACCATCTGCTCCTGTTTATCAAATCTCCTCCTCCCTTGTTTTCTCTCCCTTTGTCCCGTCTCATCTCCTATCCTCACCTCCCTGTCCTTTCCACAGATGAGCAACACAGTAGTTTTGAGAATTATGGCAGTGGCACTCAAACATGAACTGGTGAATAACACTGGACTTGAGGTGAACCAAGGCGGGGCTTCCTTCATCACAAACTTTCACCTTGCAGTACAAGTTAATGTGGCTGGTCAGGCAGTAGATATCCGCTATGACATTACAGAGCTGCCACAATATGGTGAGCTCCAGAGGTTGCACTCAAGCGGTGACTGGAAACCGACTACTTCCTTCTCTCAGAAACTCCTAGAAAAAGAACGGATCCGATACCTCAGCACTTTCCATGGCCTTCAGAAGCAGAACAACATCACTGACCACTTCAAATGTAAAATCAGCATTGGTTCCCTGGCTACCGAGGAAGTCGAATTCCTTATTATGGTACGCTGGATCCACTTCAAAATCACACGCAGCAAGATGGAGGTCAACGGTGTTCAGACTGCTGCTGTCACTCCCGAGGATCTGCATGTGATTTCTAAGGGCGTTAAACTCAACGAGAGTGACCTCTACTTCAGGCTCCTAACAGTCCCAAAGAAAGGGCAGCTATTCCTCAACAACAGAGTTCTACAAAGGAACTCAACCTTCAGTCAAAAGAATATCACGGATGGCTCGGTGAAGTACGGGTTGCTCAACAGGCTGCACGATGACACAAGAGACACATTCAGCTTTCAGGTGTTTTCAACACTTGCCAACTCTACTAGTTACGACTTCAGAATCAACATAAAAGCAGAGTCAACCGCCATCGATGTTGTAAACAAAGGCCTTTCAATCCTGGAAGGAGGAAGTAAAGTCATCAACAAAGATATTTTGTTTACGCACACAGCAAGTAACCGGGAGGTCCACTACAACATTACGGTGAGCCCCAGGCACGGGCAGATAAGAAAGATCAACCTTTCCAACTCAACTTCCATTAATGACAACGTTGTGACATTCACAAATCAGGATATCATTCGGGAGAGGATCATGTACGTTCATGATGACAGCGAGACCAAGCAGGATTCCTTCACTTTTCAAATTGTGGTTTACAAACTGCACAAACACACCAGCAAGAAGGAGGACAGAAACACAGCCGAACACACCTTTAATATCTCTGTGCAGCTCGTCAATGATCAGAGACCTGTCAGGGTTGTCGATAAAGTTTTCCATGTGGCCCGCGATGGGCAGAGATTGGTGACGTTAAATGACCTTTGTTACCAGGACGATGACTCGGACTTTCAGGACAGTTGGTTGGTGTACACGCGGAGGGGGATTCCCATGGGGGAGCTGGTGCTGGCCAGTGATACCAGTCACAAGCTGTATGAGTTCACACAGCGGGACCTCGAGCAGGTTCGCACCATTATAGATTCTTGCTCGTCCAGGTGGCAGAATATTTATAATCAGTAAGACAAAGGTATATGGATTTGCTGTTATGTTTTTGTGCCATGACGTCGACAATCCTCATGTGATCCTCAACGTCATGCAAAAATAGATTTATACGCCTTGCAACTTCCCAGTAGAAATGATGAAGCCTCTTCAAGGAGTAAACTAGTTTGCAGGAAACACTGCCCAACCACATTTAAAGGCAAACATGTATATGAATTGTTATAAATGACTACACTCAGAGTTGGCGCGGAAAGCCTGATGTAATACAAAGGGGTGAGATGTGACTTTCAGACAGTCTGTTCTCAAATGTATTCATGTGTTGCACCTGGTTGAAGAATGGAAAAAGAGAGCTTGAGAGAGAAGTTCAAATTCTTCATTGTTTCTCACCTGTGCAACAAGTGGGAGTGCCTGTCAGATTAGTGATTTTGGAAAGTTGTAAAAATTGTAGGACGCAGCCCCCCAATTCCAATGTTGGTGTGGAGAGACGGGGATTGCAGTTTGAAGGTCCGACAATGACTTTAAAACAGCAAATCCAGCTGCCTTTGACCTGTAGATATTCTGTTTTACTTAACGAGTAATACTGGTGTTTCTTAAGTTTGTAAATGTTTCTTTGTAAAGCCCGCTGATGCCTTTTCCTCTTCTGTCATCACCCCCTCTTCTTTTCTCTCCTCTCAGAAAAAGGTGTTGTTTGTCCACAGAGGGGTGAGTTTCGGGCGTTTTGTGCTTTTCGTATCAGATGGGAAACATTACGTTTCAACACTGCTGGAGGTGATTATTATGTCTTCACAATCTATGTATTTTACATTTGTTTTATTAGCCAATGTTAGCCAAGAGGCTAATTTTTAAATTATGTCGATTGACCACATGTTAATTGAACACTGAAATAAATAGAAATCATCATCATGTAAAATCATAACAAGAGAAGGCAGGCAAAAACATAAAAGCCTCTAAGAACAGAGTTAAAAGATAAAAAGTAGAGGAAGTGAAGCAGTGTGTTGGTGGTTTACCTTAAATGTTTATTTATAACTTTTTCTACAAATTATTTGCTGCTAATTAAATATTGTATTTAATTAAATATAATTTTTAGTGTGATAAGTAAACCATGTGATGTTGGTAACATGTTCCTGACAGCTGCTATATAAATAATTCATTTCTGTCTCTGTTGTGTAACTGCCTGGTGCAGGTGATTGCCCAGGATCCTTACCTTCAGGCTGAGAACAACACAGGCCTCACAGTGCAGCGAGGTGGGATCACTGCCTTGACCTCTGCTAACCTCAGCATCTTCAGCAACCTTGACATCCGAGACCCACGGGAAGTGACATTTGAGGTCTTCCTTCCACCTAAACACGGTGTGCTCTGCTTTAACGGTGGTGATCGTGAGACTGTAACAGAAGCACATGCAATTTCAAGATTCACCCAGCAAGATTTGGTGGAGGGGCGCCTAGCGTATCACCACGACGGCAGCCAGGAATTGTCAGATTGGTTCAATGTGACGGCAAGAGCAAGGGAGAAGAGCACAGAGAGTCGATTGGACAGAGGGAGGAGGGAGGTACATCTGGACATCGGAGTGCCAGTAAAGGTCTACCTGGAGAGTCACCAGAGGCCGCCAACGGTCCTAAGTAACCATCCAGTGGTGGTGGTGGAGGGACAGAATGTCTCCATAAGCAAGGAGCACTTAGAGGTAAGCTAATAACCATAATGCAGTATATGACTAATCGATTACTTAACCAGGTGGTCACTTTCTTGCCTGTATTTGTATCTGATATTGCAGAAGTTACTCAATATTTGACATGGAAAAATATCAAGATTTATTGTTTATTGTCTGTAACTGCAACCATATTGCAGGGATTTTATGTATGTAACAGACTGCTTTCTAAGTGATATATTGAAAATTAAAATGAATTAGAAATTAAAAATAGAAATTAAAATGACAAAACTCAACAAACAACAAACTCTCATGTTCATTGCAATATTTATTTTGTTTCTATACCAGTTGCCCTCCTGTAGTACATCACTCCTGTGATCTTTCAAAGTTTATTAATGTCATAGTTTAATGCCATTGTTGTAGTTTTGCATGCCGGACTTCCTCATCTTCTAGCGTACATACTGTATGTATTATATAATTTCCATGTTTTTTGAAAATGTATACTGTTTTGTTTGAACAGGTGGTTCATGAGGACAGCCGGCCCGCAGAGATAGTTTTTAATGTCCAAAGTCCTCCCACCCTGGGCTTCCTTCAGAGGATTCCCCCCAGCCACAAGCACCAGAACAACAATGGAGAACAGCAGCACCTCTATCAAGTACAGCCAATTTCACAGTCAACAATTAACACAGCTTTTGTTTAGGTTTAAAGCAGACTTCACAAGAGCATATAGCTTTTGGTTATATGTGAAAGAGATTTCTGAATTTCTGAGTGTTTTGTCTTCGCTTTACTTATATGTCTGAAGCGGGTAGGGCTCAATTGGAAAAATGTGAAGTCCCAGAGTTTAGCAACATTAGAATCAAAATGTGGGGGTCAAACCACACCCACACAGTCCAGATGAAGGAAATTTGAAGTTTTTAACTGTTAAACTCTAAATAAATATTTACATAGTAGGCTTTATCCTAACTAACAAACTCTAACTGTTGCTTATTTAGTCGTGAATATTTAATCTTATAGAGACTACAGCTTTAAAACCACATATTAAGGAGTTTTAATGAAAGCAAACCAAAAAGAGACTAAAAAGCCTAATCAGGTATTTATTGTAGTTTCACTATAAGTGAAATTATTTCACCTTCAAGTAAGAACCTAACTGGCCCCAAAAGTTGCACATTTCAGCTTTAAATTGTCACGCAGGATTCACACAGAAACAGGACTTGATTGGCTCGTCTGCTCCATTCCTCCATGCAGGGCACCAGAGAGCAGGCAAGAAACTCCTTCACCCAGGAGGACGTCAACCAAGGATCGGTGATCTACCATCAGCAGGCTACAGGAAGCACCAGCGACTCTGTTCTGCTGGAGGCAACAAATGGGGTCACAAAGGTCGGACCTATCAGGCTGGAGATTGATATCATCCCCATCCTGCTGCCTCTACAGGTACAGAATGTACATTATGTCCCGATGTTAGATGACATCAAAAAAGGAAAGAATTTTATTAAAGGAGAGAAATTCATTTTCCCAGCCAAAGGATTACACAAAGGTGGAATCGATTGATAAGTTAGTCAATGTCTATGTGACCTTCTAAAGATCTGTTGGTATATTCTGTAGGTGTCTGATCTGACCCTTGATGAGGGGTCGTCCCTGCCGCTGACCTCTGACATCATCAAGGTCGCCAATCATCACTTCTCAGGGATGAACTTCCTGTACCAGGTCATTGATTCACCGCGACATGGACACTTGGAGCACAGCCGGATCCCGGGGATGCCCATCACTGCTTTCACTCACACTGAGGTATGACTGAGCACGCACACACACAAATCTGTCATAAAACACACTTTCCTTTGTTGTGTTGCTGTGTTCCAGCATTTTCGACATCGAAATTATTGGTTTTATGGGGTTATGACAATGACTACCTCATGGTTTTGAAACATCCATTTCTGACAGGTTTTATATTTAATTAAATGGGGAACACTCATCTCTGTGTGATAACACGTTTACTGTTTTTTTAATTTTATAAGGGTCATGTCAGAATAAATCTCTACATGAACCTTCTCCACCTCTCTTTTCTGTCCAGGTGGAACGTGAGTACATCTCCTATATCCATGACGGCAGTGACACACAGAGAGACAACTTTACCATTGTGGCTAATCAGACGGAAATCAGAAAGCACAGTCTGCCCTGCACAGTTCACATCAATGTCAAAGCCGTCAATGATGAGACTCCTGTTGTTACAACCAACAAGGGTTTAAAGGTAAGGTAATAGGACACGTTCGTGAGAAGTAGATAGCATCATCTTTTCTGATTAAAGACAGGCCGTATAGGATTACTTCCAACTATGTTTTTGAAAAAAATCCTAACTAGCATTTTGGAGAAATGTGTCTCAGGAAAACAGGGAATTGTGCACCAAGATATTTTTGAGTTAATACAAAACAATCTATACATACTATTACAGTTACTCCAAGTTACAAGTTTATTTGTAACTGTAAAATGTTCTGCTTAGCAAAAAAGAATAGTATTTCGGACATACTGCTTTTTAACTGCGAGTTAGACGAAAAGATCAATACTACTCTCATGTCATGGCCAAATGTGAAGCTACTCTATAGAGCCAGCAGGCGATTAGCTTATCTTAGCATAAAGACTTTGTCAAGTAAAACCATAACTTGTTGTTTCTATAGCTCTGCTTGTGTACAGATTAGACAAATGAAATATGATGTGCTAACTACTAAAATTTTGAGATGTTGGTAGGCAGATTTCTTTACCTTGTGACAGAGCTAGCTGTTTCCCCGTTTCCAGTCTTTGTTCTAAGTGAAGCTAACCACCTTCTGGCTCTAGCTTCATATTTAGCATACAGACATACAGACATTAGAGTGGTATCTATCTTGTCACCTAACTCTTGCCAATAAAGAAAAATAAGTTAATTTCCCAATGTGTCAAACTATTAATAGCTTTACTACTAGTTAAGTTAAGTTAATAGCCTCTATGACCTTTCTTTCCATCTTTCCTCATGCTTCCTCAGGTGTGGGTGGGTTCAGTGACAGAAATCACCATAAATGATCTTAGAGCAGAGGACTCAGACACGCTGCCCGGGGTACTGGAGTTCATCGTCACGCCACCCAGCAACGGCCACCTGGCCCTGAAGAGCGCCCCATCCAGACACATCCTAAACTTCACCCAGGATCACATACAAACCGGACAACTAGTGTTTGTGCACAGTGGTGAGCAAAAATCTATTTACACCGTGTTTCTCTCGACTTTTACACTAACAAATGAGTCTGGAACAAATGTAGGAATAACTGCTCAGTTTTCTTGATGTTGACTCTGTTCTTGTGCAGGTGCTTTGTCGGGTGGCTTTCATTTCCAGGTAAATGACGGCGTGAACTTCGCCCCTCGCCAGATCTTCAGCACAACTGCCCACTCTCTGGTCCTTACCCTGCAGAGAAATCATCCAATGGAGGTCTACCCAGGTGGTTTGACACTCTGGACTTGCACAAAGTCAGCTAAAGAGTTTCTTAAGCAGGCATTTTTCTGCTCAAGTACAGTATCTACATGTGATTTTAAAATCCAAACACTTATCAATATGGGTATTTGGTATTTGAACTCTCCAGCGCCATGAGAAGATTTATTAGATAGGAAAACATGTATTAACATCAAATGCATTTATTTTATCTCTCTAAATGTTTAATAGTGTTTAGCCTCATTGTATGCTTATTGATAATCTGAAATCTGAAAGCTATCCAAATGTAGTGCAATTTTATAACAATAGCACTAGGTGGCATCACTAGTGTAAGCATTAGCCCACTGCATTATGTTTCTGCCTATGCAAACACATTACAGTACCTCAGTGCCCAGTTAGTGTCAGTGCCACATTCCACTTTATCTAACGGTTAACGTTAAGCGGTTCTAGCCTGTAAACATACACACTTGTCAGTAGTTTCTGTAGTCAAGGTTACATAAGTGAAGCTGTTACTCTGATAGATAGCCAAGTATAGAACATTCACTATTGTAGTTTCTTGCTTGTATAGTACTTGTTGTGATAAAGATAGCAAATTATAATATTCTATTTAAAATTTGTATTCAGATTTTACAACCATGGTGCAAGTATGGATTATGTACTGATATTACATGTAACCAGGATCATTGACTGCCTCCTCTCTGTCGCTGTGAGCTTTTCCTCTCTCTCACTGTCTTTGTTATCTTTAAAGGCTCTGTGACACCAATCACTCAGCAGGAGCTTCAGGCCATAACCAACGATGTCATTGATGTCAGAAGAAACCACTCTGTGGTGTTTGCAGTGACCGATCCTCCTAAACTTGGTCGCCTGGTCCGACGTATGCGCGATAACTCTACACTAAACATTTCCACGTTCACACAAAGCATGGTAGGGGTGTGTGTGTTGTTGTTGTTGTTGTTCAAAACATTTGTTAACTTCTCTAATAAAAAAAGGCCCTTTCTCCCTCCTCATTTGGTTGTGTCTGTTTCTCAGGTGAATGATGGAGTTATCTTGTATGATCAGAACAAGCCAGAGTCAGTGGGATGGTCAGCTGCAGACACTTTCTCTTTCACAGTGTCCTCACCTCCAGCTTTCCTTCCTCCACACACCTTCACCATCTTAATCTCCTACCAGGCCAACGAACATCACGACAACCTTCAACACAGGACTAGACTACTGAACAATGCAGGTATTGTGCGACCGTGTGTGTTTTTATTTAAAAATTGCATTTTTTCTCTCAGTACAGAATAAACAGTTAATTAATACTACAAGTTACTAATTACTAATCCAAATTAATAAATACTTCTGGTGTTCTGCATGTACATTAGTATTTAACCTCTTAAAATAGCATTACAGCTTGCATTCATGAGTAGCTCAAGATACAACAGGGTGAACTCTGGAAAGACAAAGCCAGGTTAAATACTTTAAGATGAATAAACACTTTTACCAGGAAGAATATAAATTGAAGGGGACCAATTTAGGTGTTTGTATCTGTCATTCAGGTGCTGTGGTGGCTGAGGGAGGCAAGGTGATGATTGACAGGTCTAAACTCGATGCCTCCAATCTGCTTGGGAAAGTTCCAGAGCCTCACCGGAAAGACCACCACATCCTGTACCGTGTGATCTCCCTGCCACGCCACGGGGCTCTGTCTATACGAGGACACAACCTCACCAGGTGCTTGGCTCCGTTCTTGGTATCACAGGAAATGAGCATGACACTAAAATCAAAATGGGTCATACCAGATCTAAGGCACAAATACATCAGTTAAACACAGTAACGCAGACACTTTTCTAATTGTCATTGTCAAAATTGTCAAAAAAAGGATATATTGATGAAAATCAGCGCTGACTTCAACAAAAACAATCAACAAACAATATCAACCTAAAGGCACTGTATTGAGGCACTGTGTGGAGACATTTTGAACTGAATTTTTTGCAACAACATTAAATAAAGTCTCAGGTAAAGAATATCCAGTATAGGCCTTCGGGTTTGATGTATATACAGTATATATATATATATAATGTATACTGTATATATTCAACTCATGCATGGTTTCCATCCTTATCTTTATAGTTATTTTTTCAAGACAACCTTGCAAATGTGAAATAAATAATGAGCTTTTTACCCCTTCTTTTCTCAGGAACCAACCTGATTTTTCCCAGGTCACCCTAAACAAGTTAGGCATCACATACATCCACGATGACTCAGAGACGACGAGCGACAGCTTTACTTTCCGGGCTTGGGTGGCTCCTCTGGATCTCTCTTCTTCTTCCTCCTCATCTTCCTTGTCTGCCTTTTCCTCTGATTCCTCCTCCTCCTCCTTTTCCCCTCTCTATTCAGCCTCATCGTCCTCCCTTACTTCAGTAGATGCGGTTTCTCACCACCGCGTCAAGGACAGCCTGGCGGTAACAGAGACGTTCAACATCACAGTGACGCCGGTCAACGACCAGCCGCCACTCATCAGGAGCAGAACACCGAGTATGAAGGTCGTAGTCGGAGAGAGAGTCGCAATCGGACCAGACAATCTGCAGGTGGTTAAGAGTGCAGGCGTAGCTGCAGTCAGCGCTGCACAGTTAGGGTTAAAAGTTTTTTACTTTTTCTCAGTATCATTGGCGACAACATTTTATATGTTATGCTACAGAAAGTGCCAATGTCACACCACATTAAATTAACTTAATACTTTATATAAGTAAAATGTGTTTTTATTTTCCAGTGATTCACTGGACTATCTAGCAGATTTAGCTGTTACATTTTTAGAATTTTATTTATTTATTTATTTTTATTTTAGGAATTTAACATATAAAGAAGGTTTTAGGAGACAATATTAAACATCAACAGTAATCCTCCAGTGCATAAAGCATCAAAAACCATCAAGTCACAGTAATAACATGTCAAATGATGGTGACATTTTGAGATCTATTAAAACAGCAGCAACAATGTTTGAATACGATGAACATTCCTTTTGGAGTCTTATAAAATACAATCCTGTCAATCTACATGTCCAGGTTGAGGATCATGACACACCTCCAGAGGAGCTGCACTACCTCGTGATCAGTAAGCCCAGCAACGGTTACCTGACGCTGGGGGAAAGACCGGAGCCAGTGACCTCCTTCACCCAGTACGACGTCAACCACGGCCGGCTGCACTTTACACAGCAGGTGAAGAGTCAGTCTGCTGACAGAGACATTACGGCTCCGGTTCTTTTTGGCAAATGTGTGTGCATTAGGGATGTCCATTTGAAGCCTCTATGTCCGTCATTCTTACATGATTATTGTGTAAGAATCTGATGGCATCTGATACATTGCTGTCTAACCAGATTGTGTTCTGATATTGCCACTAGGGGTTGCCTAAGACTCAAATGTTCAAATCCTACAAATCCGAGGGGTTTTATTATCCTCTGTGTCAAAAAAATTAACGTTACAAAGATCCAAATCATAGAAATAGGTTTTATGTTTTGTGACATGTGGATGCACTGGGCTTTAGGTTTTTTTTTAAATGTATTTGTCCTGACTTTCAGGTAGCCAGTGATTTCCATTCTTTTCATTGTGGTGTGGAACTCAGCTTCAGATATGTAATTCATCAGCATGTCTTATTTTTGTCAGTTACATCAGTATTGTGTGGTAATGCAGCTAAGAGAAGAGGCTGTTTTGAAACATTTATGTTCTTTTCTTTCTTTCTTTCTTTTTGTGCTTTCCCATTCCCATTTTCTATTCCTTCCTGTGGTCCCTGTGTCAGGGTGAGCCCTCAACAGGTGTTTTCTACTTCAACGTGACCGACGGTCATCATCGTCCACTCTACAGACTGTTCAGTGTGGAGGTGATAAAGCCCCGTGTCTCCATGGTGAACAACACTGGCCTGTCAATGGTTCAAGGCAGGACTGCTGTGGTCCTGACAACCCACCAGCTTGCAGCTCAAACCAACAGTCGCAGCCGGGCCAACATCACCTACACGGTCACCACACACCCTCGCCACGGACGCATTGCCATTAATGACCAAGAAGTCACGACCTTCTGCCATGAGGACCTGCAGTTTGGCCGTGTTGTCTACCACATGACCGATCTCAGTGAATCAGAAGACAGCTTCCAAGTCTCAGTGTCAGCCTCGTCCCCCGATGTCGACTATGGAAATGTGACAGCGCAGACGGTGAATGTAACTGTGCGGCCTCTGATCTACCTGAGAGAGCCAGTAAGAGTGCCCAGCGGTATCGCTGTGAAACTGGGGAAAGCCATGATTGATGCCTCTGAGCTGGCGAGAATCAGCCGAGCCGACCCGGTCTTTGAGGTTCTGTCTTCACCAAAACATGGAAAACTAGTCAAGGTAAAGCTGTTCATTGTAAGCTTTTGATAAAGTTTGACATACCATACTGGTGTTTTTGCATAATAGCTTAACTCCAACATGTGTACATATTAAACTTGTAGAAACTCGACACTTGGTTGTGACTGGATATCTAATAAAGTCAACATTTTTTGTCAAACCAACTTAAAATGTCTTTAAAAAACTACACCTAGGAATCGGTGCATTTCATTAGGTCGACTGTCAAGGGTGTCATTATCCCCTTTACCCCCTGTAGTAACTTCCAGGGAAATGCAGGATATGTCAGAGAGTGAGGAAGGAAGTCGCAAACATAACTAAACGTAACGTGAATAAAACATTAATACATTACCTTGTCCCTGAACATGATTTTTGCCGGAGTCACATCAGATAGATTGTTATTGGCAATGGTGGTCAGTGTTGGGAAGTTACTCAGAAATTGTAATATATTACTAGTCACTTATTACTCCTTAAAAAAGTTATATTATTACTTTACTTATTACTGGGTGATAAAAGTAACTAGTTACGTTACTATATTACTTCCAGTGTTTCCCACAGAATGACAGCGGGTGGGGCGGGTGGTTGGTTAAATCCCAACTTTTAAACAGCTGTTTTACTGCACATGTAGCCTGTTTATAAGAGAAGTATTCAGTAGTTACAAAACGCTACGTTAACGCCACTCTCTCCCTACGAGTCCGAGCATCAGTGGCAGCAGCTGCCGGAGTTTCTTTCTGTAAGTTTCATGTCGCTGTGCTGCTTCAGCAGAAGCTTCAATAAATCGGATGTAGAAATGTTCGCGGTTGAAAGCTTTTTGCTGGTCGCACAGAGTTTACAGTAGATGATAATGTTCTTTGCATCTTAGACTGTGACACAATAATGGCAGCAGCTACTTAAAGCTGTGGAAAGAACGCCTCTCTCCCTCGTTCTCCATTCTTCCTTTAGTGTTTGGCTATCAGCGGACATTAACAACAAAGTCCGGTCCAGCTGAGCTGCCGCACAGTCGTGGATTTACGTCAAAGATGGTGTGTTCAGTAACGAGTAACGCAGCGTTACTTACCTTAGTAACAAGTAATAATATTACCGTTTTAGAAAAGTAATTAGTTACACTACTTAGTTACTGGGAAATGTAATATTATTACTGTCCAACACTGGTTGTTTACCAATGAAGACAACAACTCCCATGATTCCATACTAATTACATACTTACTATGTGTTTAACACACAGACACCAGTCGCCTATTAGCCCTGAACAGGAACATGTTACAAAATGTGTCAGTTAGTAAATTAAGTTTAAAGTTTACCTTCTTTAAAGAGTAACTCCAGGCACCAGGCAGAAAATGCATGTTTCACTACTCTGTGGTTGAACGTTTCAAGTGTGTTGTATCCCTGACTACACCCAGCCTCACTAATAGGTGTGAAAGTGCCAGAAGTGTGCTCTGTAACACTGTAAACCTGTTTTTCTGCTGGTGTAAAATATCCTGTATTTAATTTTAAGTAATTGTGTTTGTTGATGTGTTGATCTATAATATAACCTCTGTTACTAATAGTGTAATCATCTGATTTCAGTTCACTCTTTCTTATGCTGTGTCTGTGTGTACATGTATACAGATGACCTATGACCCTAACCGAGCATCAGAGGTCCTGAAGTCTTTTACGTACAGAGATGTGGTGCAAGGCCGGGTCGCCATCGAGGAGACTCTCAGTGATGGTGACAACCAGCTCCATAATAACAAATCAGCACTCACAACAGCTCAAGGCCACGCCCCCGCCACACCTCTCAATGATTCTTTCATCTTCCTACTGAAGGCCGGAAACGTCCAACCAGCGAAAGGCGAGCTTCACTTCACCATCTTTCCCCACCACCAGATGCATCATGGTCTGAGTGTTTCAAATAAAGCAGATGGTGCAAGTCACAAACACACGACGAGCCGTCTGCCCACACATAATAGGACCACTACCAAAGGAGGTGGACGAGGGGGATCCACGACGCAAAACGGGGTCGGTTTGCCCCCGCACATTTTGTCACATAAGAACAACAGGACACAGCACAAGTTAAGGCCTCACAACCGCTGGGCGAACCACACGCGCAGCGGGAGTCATGGAGGAAGGTCAGGGAGCGATGCAGAGGGAGCAGGAGGAGGTCACAGTCATGCCCCACAGCCCCACACTCCCTCTATCTCAGACAAACCCGGCCCGGTGAACCATCCTAACACTCACCCGGTTCACGTTGAGGTCCTCCCTCGCCCCGCTGCTGACCCTCTCCTCATCATCCTGCCACTGCTGTCGTGTTTGCTACTCATCGTAATCCTCATAGTTTTGATTCTGGTGTTCCGCCGCCGCAAGGAGAAACAGGCCCGGCTGCGGCTTCTCCAGCAACTCGCTGCAATGGGGTTACCCCCTGAAGAGGGCACTGACGGCAGCCCTTACCTGGGCCAGGCAGAGCGGAGTGTTGCTATGCCCTCTGTGGTTGTCACCCCGCTGGGCCCTAGAAGCTGCCCCACCTCTCCCAGGGTACCCATTAGTCCTAGAAGGAGGAGTCTGGCCCCTGGGATGACCTTCTGGGGACCATTTGAAGCTGACGGGGCAGGTGATGATAAGGAATATTAGACATGGTAACATTAGTGAAAGAGATTATGGACCATGTGGTGGTGCTGTACCAGATTTCACTGCAGGATTCAAGACCTCTCTGAGATCTATGTCCCTTACTCCGACTCTTAAAGACAACCACTACTGGGTCTGATGGAAGTAATTCAAAGACAAACTGTGCCTTAGTGGTGTATTTTTGGTGTGAAGGGTGTAAATGGCATGTGCGTACTCTCCAGGGGACATCTATAGTCATCTAAGGCACAGCTGAAACTTTTTAAAAACATGACAAAAATATGCACATTTGTTGAAGAAATTGTTGATTTTCGTAGGGAATGTATAAATCCCTTTATATTTAAGTAATTTCACTGAACCGACTTGAACTGAACACATCTTTGTTGTAGTGTACTAAAAAACAATGTACTGAAAAACTGTTATTTCAACTGTAAGACATTCTAGGAGGTGTGAGGTACTGAATCCATTATAATTGCTTAGGCAGCTGTTTGCCATTTTCTTTGGTCAGATTTAATGTAGCAAAATTTTAAGTTATCTTAAATGTGTCATACAACTGGTAATTGACACCTCTCGCGTACAATATTGTAACTGTACGGAGTTGATGTGTGTAAACTATGTATGTTAGCTGTTAGATCATAGTGTTTGTCCAAACAATCTTTCAAGTCCAACATCTTAATAACATTTACCCCTCATTCTGTTTCCTTTTATTTTGTTACAGCTTAAGGTGGTGAGCTGTGTCTAGTTCAGCATTAACAAAGACATCATAGCTTCCACAGGTCTTTACTGACCAACACTTTTTCCACGTTTGACCCATTTTATTTATGTTTCGCAATGCACTGTGAAAGATTTATTTTAATAAAAGATATTTCTTAAAGACTTCTCCGTGTTAATCGCAAACACATAAGTGCAAATAATAGTCTAAGTTGAAAAACTGGATCACAATTCATCTTCATTCATCTTTGAGTCTTATGATCTTCCTTTAGTGCATTGTTGTTGTTTTTTGGCCATTATTGATCAACAGCAACGGGCTGTCTATCTGCTGATAATGGGGATGCTTATTTTAACACATAAAAAATGCACATACAGCTGACAAAAATTGACAATGTGACAATTACATAAACAACCTTTTAGGTTTTATGTAACAAGCAAAAGTAGACCTCAGCCTTTAGAACCATTCAATCCAGATGTGCATTGATCTGTATATGCAGCATATGCAAATTATCCTCAATAAATTCTCAATCTTGTCCTGTATATATAGTCTGGTTTTCATCAAATGTTTTGTGTATGTTAATGTTTTTTAAAGAGGCTATATGTAGATTTTAATGAAATCATCCTTCCATCCATCCACAACTGCTAGTCTTGTGTACAGGGTCGCGGGGGGCTGGAGCCAATCCCAGCTGCCACTGGGCAAAAGGCGGGGTACACCCTGGACAGGTCACCAATCCATCGCAGAGACTCACATGGACAAACAACCACTCACACTCACACTTCAAGGACAATTTAGGGTCACCAATTAACCTAGTCCACAAGTCTTTGGACGGTGGGAGGAAGCCAGAGCACCCCGGAGAGAACTCACGCAGACGCGGGGAGAACATGAAAACGCAAACTGAAAGGCAGGGGCAACCGAGGTTTGAACCCGCAACCTTCTTACAGTGCTAACTACTGCACCACCACACCGCCCTTAAAGAGGTGGTATAATGCTCATTTTCAGGTTCAAAATTTAGGCGGCTGAGCGGGCGGCTGGCCGGCTTCACACGCTCCTCCTGCTGGTTGGCACAGGCTTCCCCCACAGCCACTTGCGGAGCTCCTCAACTCCGAAAATATTCAAGCACATTTTTGTTCGGCCATCACTAGTAAAACTGTCAATATTCGAAATCTACACAGCTGATTTCTCACCTTAAAACTTCTCAGAAGTGGTTTTAGTGATTCCATTCGAAAACTGTAAAATATAAAACTTCCTGTTGCTGGCCTCTGTCTGGCGCATGCAATGTTGATGCAGTGAATAGTGACGATCCTCTCTGACCAATAAGCAGCCTGTCGTGTTTTCATGTTACATTTTAGTATCTCTCAGCTCGCTTGGAACCTCTGGAAATGTCCCCGTTTTAACTGTGTGTTAATCATAGACTGTACAAGGTGTTGATAGACCTGAAATCAGATTTTACGTGACCAGAAAGACTGGACAGCAGAGCTGACAGGTGTCGTGCCGAAAAGTGATCCTCCGCGGGAGAGCGCGCAGCATGTTAAAGCTGTATCACCCAGTCTCTTTACATCTACAGCTGCTTTTATCTGGATCAAACAGACATAATGTGCAAATAAACATCACTTTATGTCAGTAGTAATAGCAAATGTATGTCTGTGTGATACTTTAACGTTTCTTTAACGGAATAATCACAATTGTGGCATAAGGCTAAGTGTTTGCAGTTTTTAGCGTAACCAGGCATGACATTTACGTGATTATAGCCGATAATAGAAGCCTGATGTTGCCGATGGATTATGTGTTTGGTAGGCCTATGTCTAATATCCTTGTTTATATTTGGAAAACGTAATGTAGTCTATTATTAACATGACTTACTGCTGAATTATATATAAAATAAAGACATGATCTCTTTTGCAATTATCCTTATGACTATTGCTATGTACCAACTAATCCAGTAGCCTATTTTTTACCTGTTGAAATACCTTTAAATGGCCAATACAACCTATGTAATGCAGTATTCCACTTGCCAGAAAGTGATTGCAGCCTCTACTTATTGACTGAAAGGTAGTTTCTGCCTCAAAATGATGATTGATTTAATTCAGAAGAGTTATATTTGACAGATTATAAAACCAAAATTGTTCCCCTTTTGTATTTCATATATAATAACATTATATTTTTTAATGACAAACTGACCACCAAACCAAAAATTTCACCGGTTTTCATTTCAGAAATCTGGTCACCTTAGTCTAACTGTTATACTAAAGTGTGGCAACAATCTTATTTATAATATTCAGTCTAGCTTACTAACGGTTTTCATTATAATCCAAACAATTACAGCTGTGCTGACACTGCTGAGTGAAGATACACATCTGCAAAATGATGTGTTATCTGTAACGAGCATGGCATTGTCAAGCAGAGTGAGACTTTACCCGGGTTTCCAGTATTATTATATGTGATGCTGTCTATTGTTATGTCCCTGTTTTTAGTTTGACCAAGCGGGAAGCTTCCGGTCTGAGACACAAAACCAATGCGGAAGTCACTTAAACCTGCATTCTATTGAACGGCCAGCAGTGGGCGACTCTTCTAGTCCTGCTCCATTAGAAATAATGGTAAAATGACCCTACTTCCCACCTGATTTATTACCTTAGTAAACACTTTCCTAATGAGTTTATGGTCTCAATCGCTAGTTTCATGTCTTCATCAATACAACATGATGTTCATTTAGCAAATTATGGTCCCATTTAGCTTCAGGGCGAGATTATCTATGATTGACATGTCGTTACAATGGCGACCTGTCAATCAGGCCAGAGTGACTCATACCCACGGCACTGTGTAAATTTAACCAGCGCTGTTGAAAAAGCGTGTTAGGAGTTGGCTGTTCACTTTCTCTGTTGAGTACGTTTAGTTTTAAGCCTGTTGTTCGCTAGACAAAATTGTCAGCCCTGTTAAAATGACAGTTAAGATGAATTACAGATACACCTAGCTAAGCAAGCAAGCTAGCTCCACACATGGCTGTTAGCGCCACCGTCTTGTCCAATAATGTTAACGTCTGGTGCCGCTGGTTGCAAAAACTCAACATGCCGGCGCCCTATCGGCCAAACTCAAGGCTTCAAAATGGCAGTCCACAAACTAACGGGTGACGTCACAATGACTATGTCCACTGAAAACCCCATGACACAGCCTGATCTAAATGGTACTCCTGCTGTGATGCATTTAAAATGTAGTGGATTAGATGCAGCATTTAGAGAGCAGAAGAGCTGTCTTTTTTGTATAAAGTGGAAGAAAAATATCTTGAAAAAAACTTTTCTTTAGAGATATTTTTATGAATTAAAAGATTTGGCTGATTCAGAACAGCCAAGAATAATCATTTGCAATTATTATCCGAAACTAGTAAAGAAGAAAATGAAAAAGGAAAAGGAAGACAGGGGAAAGAGTACGAGTCTAAATAATGAAGAGCCTGAGACTGCAGTAACCCGACCTGCAGTCTGATCTCTGGTGTCAGATATCAAGGACTGTACTGCTGCTGCCTCCACAGGAAAAACAAGTGAGTAACACTTTTAACTTTGGGAAAACCTTGCACTGAATACATATTTTTATATTGTTGAGCAGTTGTTTAAAAAAGTGTGATTTAAAGAAATAATCTTACATCGAAAACATCTGGGCGAAATTAAATAACTAATAAAAACGGAGGTGAGTGTAAATGTCAGCAGTTTGTGGTGGTGCTGTGTTTTGTTTCCAAAGCAGCACATTAGTGTGTTTCATATTCAGGACATGGGCTCTTCTCTGATTTTGGTAAACAGTGCTGGCGTTTACATGTGAGAAAACTCAAAAACAAAATATCCTCAATATAAGCAAAACATTCATATTCATCAAAACACTAATTGAAAGACACAGAAAGGGTTGAGTGACACTATAAGTTATATTTATGGACGGACAACAATACAGATATATGATTGAAATAAATTCTACTTTCATTTATTTTCGGAAATGCTGTTCCAATGTGTTGCATTAAAAGTGAAAGAGTGGCATCATAGTGAATTATGTGCTTCTGAAGAATGCTAGATACAGTTGTAATGCATTCAAATGATTATCTCAGTTATCTACTGTAAATGTTTACCAAATTTTTGAGAGCACATTGGTTATATTTATCAGATCTTACAGTTCACTCCAGGTGTTTGATTCATGCTCTTTAAAGAATCCCCTGCTGATTAAACTCAGGAGTTGCTCTGTGAGTCAGGTTCATTAAATCGGCACAGGATGTTGTCTGCTGAACATCTCTCCAGGGTGCCACAAACAGTTCTGTGAGCTTATTTTGGTTACTTACTGATTTAACAAGAATATTTTAGAGTGGCATGTTAGCATACCGAGAAGAGCAACCATCCTTAAAGGGACTATATATAGATTTCGAACATTTCCGACTTTGGCGCCTTCAAGTGCTAGTATAAGGCCATCTCAGAGACACTGAGAAGAACGTGAGGAAAGACACACAGTCTCTGATTTTCAGCAAGATTGTCGTAACTTTTTCACAATGAAAAAACTATGTCAACACACGGTTGCATTAAACTGGTAGATGTGGGTTCAAAGCTGTAATGCCAGAAAGCATCCATTGTGTTGAAGTGTCTGTACCCTGAGCCTGACCTCTAACCTCCCCAGACTGAGAGAAGGTAGAAAGACTGATGTGGAATTTGGGTTTTAATAACCCCAATGCCTGCATTTCTAATCCAAAGAAAAAGCTGCTTCTCAAAACAAGCAGGGAGTAAGTCAAAAACATAAAATCAGTCAAGATCAATTATTATTTCAGGTCAGGCAATCGCAGACTAAAATGCAGAACACAGGGCTTGATTATAATATGGTAGAGAAGTGACAGCATCTGAGTTGTGAGAGATGTTAATGTGAGTCAACAGAGTAGACTATTCCTACTTTGTCTCTTTCCATATTCAGAAACA